CATTTAGAGTAAACGGGCGTTTTTACGGCGACATTCGAATTGCAGCATCCTTCTTCCTTATTGGAATGAAGAAGACAGAATGCATCAGTACATAATGTAAGGCCTGGTAGTGCCCGCACTGCAATGAGCGCCTTGTAAACAAAAGACTCTTTAAATCTGCGAGCCGACAGCACGACGACTGACGCGCTGTGGCCTTCTCTGATCACCTAACTTCTATCCGTTTGAGTTTTGAGAGACAGATTAAAAAAACCTATTTCAAAGCAATAAAAATTCTCCAGTCTGTATCCTTGGTGGTGCTTGTAAACAGAAGGCTAACACTTCGAATCTGTTCTTCAGAAAGATGCACAATGCCCGGTGCGGGGAAATGCATGCGAAATGTGGACAAAGCTGGCGCATGAGAAAACCTCTCTATTGCGTATACGGCGCGCGGTATAAAGATAAATAGGACAATTAGAGTGTATATGTGTGTAAATGTGTGCATATGTAGTATGTACTCGTAGTCCTGTATACATGTGTATATAAGGCCTCATTCCATCTATGAATATGCGTACGGTATACGTTTCCATGATTACATCTGTAAATGCATGCATGTAGGCTACATACGTTCGAATACCACGATAAGCGATGTCTGCTGTGGGTCCAGTTCTGTGCACAGCGTTTGTCAGTGCCACGTGGCGACGCAAGAGAAGTTACGGAAACTCTACAACCGTAATCTCCAGACGTCGGGATGACGTGTATGTCCGTACATTCGGCCACTGTTACATGTTGTTCAATATTAATCGTCCCCTTCGTAACTGAACCAGGTTCTCTCACATAAGCTGTACGCGATAGCAAATTGTTATGTCTCTTCGTAAATAGTAAAAGGATCCTCCGAGTGCTCTTCAAAAAATTCGGGTTTTGACAATCTTTACGACAAAACCGGGTTATTTCCAACGACTGGGCCTTGAAACGCTAACAAAATAACTCACTTCCCTTCAAGCAGTGACACATAGAGCTGAAGACAGTAAAACGAATAAACAACACTACAATATTTTGTACTATAATCTGGGGCTCAGTCGAGTTTTGCTTTCTGTGACTGACCAATCAGCGAAAAGGGGGGTATGCTGATAAGCAGCAGGAGCTAAATCTTCTCAGGAGACATGTGACAAAGTATGGTCAGCCGAACTGCGTTGTTGCAATTTCGTACGTGTCCCGTGGTTCTTTTACTGAGGGACATGACAGACAGGGATTTTCATAGCCAAGCTCGCGAATTAACAAACAATATACAAGGGTAGTTTCATCGATTCATGTATTCATAATTTTACAAATGCTCTTAGAGGAACATTTCCCATTCAATGGAAACCAATGAACAACAGTGCTACATTTGGCACCACTGTATGCGCTGTCTCCTTACTTTCTCTCCCTCCTGTACTTCCTTCCTAGCCACAGTTGATGTGATCGGTGTACGCCTCAGCCGCCAGTTCTAGCGAAAGACGCCGCGGTGACGCCTTCTGCTTGCCTTCTATTTGTATATTCGATCCAGATTCTAAATCCTAATGTTAATCACGAACTCATGCTTCTGGACACCTCAACGCAAATAATGAAAATTCGTGCCTAAAGACGTAGTGTATGGCTGGAATTCAATGTCATAAAACAGGTCAAACAGTATATGCTACTCCTATGGCAAGATGCAGTGTTTTCTATGTACAACTTTACACACAATTGTTTTCAAGGGAGTCCTGGTCCAACGCGTCATTTCCACGGTGCATACGAGGTACAGCTCTGTCAGTATTGTGTTCTTGCGTCTCACAGAATTTTGTTATCAAATCATTATGAGAAGCACACTACAAGAAACACACAGTAAACATCTTATTTATCATTCATTATTGATCGAAATGCTTAATTACTTTAGCCAAAAAAAATATAATCTTCTTTGTAGTTTATTAATTGCACAATTTTTCAGTGTAGAAGGACACTACCGAGCTAAGGAAGGAAATTTAATCATCGAAAGTCGCAGATGTGGGGTAGCAACGGCATTTTTATATGCGCGATTCGATTCTACGTTTGAAGGCCATGACTGTTATTCTCGCGGCTTCTTCCTCAGTTCCTCCGCCCATGGTTTATTCCGTATTCTCCGCATGTAATCACATCTCGCTTTTCGACGAAGACATTCCTCTATGCGGGCTTTTAAGGATTATCAAAGGCTGTATTTCAGTTCCTGCTTTCCATTCATAGGCACCTTGGGAAGCGTCGTCTTCCCACAATCCTCTATTTACGTCCCAATGACAAAATTATTGCAGCCCTGGAAGTGGTCGATTTCCTGTTCGCCCACGGTTGCTACTGGCCAGGATTAGGTTCTATCACCACTGGACCTGCAGTGGGTCTGAGTTATCACCCGCTTAGTAATGTGTCTATGTAGCACAGTCTTCACCCTAAACCAGTCAACCCTGACAATACAGGAATGTTCTTGTTGACTAATATCTAAGTCCATGGAAAGGGTCCTTCTTGTCAAGCTAACAATGAATCATTCCCCGCCTGTCTGTGAAACCCAGTGTTCGTTACCATGTTCACAACATATCGATAATGGATCCTTTCCTCAGCTGCTTGAATCCAGTCCAGAAACGCAAACCCTATGTCTCTAACAGCTCTTTCAATATTATCCTTCCATCTAAAACTAGATCAAGTGACTTATTTCCTTCAGGTTTCCTCCTGAAATACTGAGCACATTCCTCACCTTCCCCATTCGTGCTACAAACTCAGACCACCCCAATCTTCTTGACTTTACTCCCGTAATAACATTTATGTGGCAAAGGGCACAAATTGTGCAGTTCCTCTTTTTCAAAGATACAACTTTCTTATGTTTTACATTACTTTTGTAGTGCCAAAATATTCTGCACAAATCGGAACACCGGCGCTATTTGTTAGCCCCTTGCCCAACCCCAAACCCAGAGGGACACGTCTGAAATCCTTCACACACAAAAACTGAAACATAATGTAGCGCCTCTGCGTCAGTTGCAAAGAGTTCATGGAATAACCGTTAGAGGCTGTACTTGACTTGCCGGCGACAGCAGGCACGCTCACACACTCGTGCGCGTCAGTAGTGAATTCGTAAGTAGATTCCATATTTCGGGGTCTCTTCCTCGGCCCACAGAGAACAAGCTATCCCGTGGTGACAACAGACCCATTTGTAATCGTTATCATTATATTCATGCCGTAGAGGAATCGCAACACAACGAGACATGGCTTCTAAGAGCAGTCTATAAATGAAACCAATCTAGTTCGGCTGTGACCTCCATTGCATTTCAATGATCGTTTGATATCCAAGAATATTTTCTGATGCGCGTTTTGGGATATGGACCTGAGCACAGAACTTCTTACGAAAGACAAGCGCATCTGCCGGACCATCAGCTTCCTGCTTTTCTGTCAGTATTAGCGCTCTGTGTGATGAATTTACCATAATCTTGTACTCTGTACAGCGGTAATCTACGGCCTGGAAAACTGAGAAATTGTGGGTCGATTCCCGGCATGGGAAAGAGATTGCTTTCCTCTCCCCAACATCCAGACCGGTGCTGAAGCCCACTCGGCCTCCTATACATATGGTACCGGAGGCTCTTACCCTGGGAGTAAAGCGGCCGGAGCGTGAAGGACAGCATTTACCTCCAACAAGTGCCAAGAATAAGAATGGTAGACTTATACCTCCACTTTCCCCTCCATCTTCATGGTGTGGTGCTTAAATACTTAAGCCCAGGGACACTTTCAATTTCTTTGCGGAATATTGTATTCATTATCATAATAATTTGGGTTATATTTAGAGTTCATAAGTAATGACTAGACTCATTTCCGTTATGATATTGACTGCCTCGCAGGAGCTGAGTTCTTCTTAAGAAGCTAACAGTTCCTCACGACCTCAAGAATTTCCCGACATTTTACGGAAACAGAAGTTTCATTATCATGTTCACAAAAGTACGCCACTGGTCCCCATCCGGTGCCACACAAATCCAGTCCACACCCCTTCTAATATTTTATGATATATTTAAATGTAATCCTTCCTAATACGCCCACTTCTTCCTGGTGGCCTTTTTTTTTTTTCAGGTTCACCACCAGAATTCTGTACGCACTTTACTCCTTTACTCAACATTCTAATAATAGTTGGAGTAACGATATTACAGTTTGTAGTATTTTCACTCATTCCAAGACATGTGTAGTTACTTAGCAGTGTTTCCTATTCTTGTAAAACCGTTACTATCGCTAACAAAAAACAAACAACGCATCATACAGACTCCAAGCCTGATGCGGATAGAAAACTGTTGCTGTAAAGCCGTTGAGGAACGTTTTCGTTCTGTTTGGAACATAAAAGGTTAAAAAGGTTAAGTTGTCCCTGTGCTTCACTAATTAAGCACTATGCCATGAAGACGTAAAGGGGAGTGGATGAATAGACCCACGTTTTCTTGACCTCGGCACTAGATGGAGGTGAGTGGTCAGCTTCATAACCCGGCCGCTTTACTCCGGAGGAAAGGGCCCCAGTACCCACTCGATAGGAGGCTGGGTGGGCCCCAGAGCCGGTCTGGACGACATAGAGAAGTGAAAATTCTTGCCCCCATTGGGACTCGAACTCAAATCCCTTGGTCGTCCAGCCCGTAGCAAGTCGCTATACCGACTGAGCTACTATGTTTAATACATGAGCTGTACCCCATAGTGCATAAATTGCGCTTACTCTCCAACATATGTACATAAATCATAATTTAAGCATACTTAATGACAGTAAATAAACTGAAGTGTATTGGACCAAGAGAGGCTTGCATACTAGCTCAATCATATGTATCTGTACAACACTACACTGGAGGAGGGGGACCTACAAAATGTACAAAGCTACAGGGGCTAGGTAACGGCTGTAGTCATCTCACAAATGCAATCAACCAACTAAGAAAATGAAGAAAGGATATGACATTAACAGATATTCAGGCGAAAGTCAGTCAGAGAGTAAAGATCGTGGCTACGACCTCTGTATGCATCGTACTCACTGTTCTTCTTGTACAGGAGGATCTCGAACTGGTCGTGAATCTGGTTCTCCAGGCACTCGTCTATGCGGGCAATAGTCTCCTTGTCGGTCAGCTCGCCGTACATGAAGGTACAGCGGCAAGACTTCTGCATCACCTGCACACAGACACACCATTTTATGCTCCGTTACAAAGCAAATATTAACATTATAATAAATACTTAACAATATGACAAGCAGAAAAATTTTCAGAGTTATCTAATATGTAAACAGTATGTATTTGATTTGATTCATCCTGGTCCGTCGCACTAGCAATATTATAAAAGGGCAATCAACTTTGTCCAGTGTGACGGATAAAATGTATTCTTCCTTTTTAATCCTTCAACCTTGACTTGTGTCGGGCTTAGAGTTCATCTTCAGAAGGATATATCAATACGGACAGAAACTACTATTACAATGTGTTTCGCCAATATCAATGCATACATACAATATCATTACAGTGCCATGAATACGAAATCTGATCCTTTAACATCTACACCGATGTGCATGAATACATTACAATGTTTATAAATTATTACAATTAGTCTGTTTACAAGTGTGGTTTAAGAAAGATTTTGTTAATTTTTTTAAAACCACACACATACGTCCAGCAATACAACGCACGCAGCCACATAAGAAAGACACACCATAAGACACAGTATATACACAATTAAAACATAAGAAGAACGACTCCCATAGCGGAGAAACGGCGTTACACACGAGTTTGATATGCGACATGTAAGATGATAGATCTTAACAAGTTTTAATATATAAATTTTATTATTGAACAACGACGAACACACATTTTATATCATTTTATAAATGGACACTTGATGGCAGGCAGTGGAATGGTTTAACGTGAATAATACACCTGAGGATGGCAGAATGATGCCGAAACATGTAGTTTGAAGTGACAAGTGAAACTGTATGCACTAAAAGACGGTAAATATATATACATTATGGATACGAATCGGTACAACAGGACGCTAAAATACAACATTTTAAAACCACTTTGGTTCTTGTCCTTTATATTGCCTCTCTTTAAAGGAAGATGAGTGTTGGAAAAATTACTCAGTGTAAGGATATCCATAAAGAAACGTTTCCTATTTACTTTTGTCACGTAAAGCGTTTCACAACTTGATCGAGGAATTCTCTCAAGGTCTTTCGAAAGTAGCAGATGATGCCAAATCAGGTCGCCCTGTTGAGATTGCAACAAAATCAACGGTGCAGCGGCTGGCACAGTTGATTCGCGTTCACAGGAGGATAACGGAAGACAGTGTAGCAACTGCACTAGGGTGTTCTCATGGTTTAGCATACAGCATAATGTGTGACTGTTTGAAATTTCGGATAGTGTGCGCAGGGTGGGTGACCAAAGAACTGAAAGATCGAGAAGAAATGAACCGAATGGGTCTGTCCTTGCAACATATCTTACAGCATGCAGATGAAGAAGATATGCCTAACAGGACTGCTACTAGGGACGAATCATGGGTGCATCACTACCAACAAGAATCAAACCGTACTTCAGTGCAATGGAAACATCCCAGTTCACCTTCAACCGAAAAGTTTAAGGTTATTATTATTATTATTATTGGAGAGGGTAGGTTTCCCCATGCACTGCGACCAGTTGTTGATCTATTGTGCGTCCCCCTTTAATTTCTACCGTCGCCATGCCCTTCCAGTACTGGTGCTCGCTATCAGCCCCTTTCTGCCAGCGAGGTCGGCCCTCTCTGGCAGTGGTCCCCGATACTTCCCCATCTACCGGAGGAATTGGAAACTATTTGGGCGGGAAACTTTTGCCTAATTTTGCTCAGAGGTCTCCTAGAGACATGAGGATCTTTTACGTGCCGTAAATCTACGACACGGAACACACGGCTTAAAGTCCCTCCCGGAGGACTTGTTCCCTGAATTTTTCCTCCCTTAAAAATTCCACGACCTCCGCCGGGTTTGAACCCGCGTACCTTGAGTCATGAGGGGAACGTTACCCCTAGACTACGGATGCCGCTTAAAGTTTAAGGTTACAAGTACGCCATCAGCAGGGAAGTTTATGCTTGCCGTATTTTGGAATTATCAGGGAATACTGTTAGCCGATTTTCAGAAGAGCAGTGAGAATGTGAATTCTCCATTGCACTGTGAAGTTCTGTTGAAGCTTCGGGATGCAACTCGCAGAAAACATCCAGACCAATTGGCAAGAGGGGTACTGCTTCATCATAACAATGTCAAGCCCCATACAGCCGGAGCAACCAAGGAAAGAATTCAAGAACTACAGTACAGAGTCATCCTACACATTTTTTTCAGCTTCATAAAATGTTGAAGACTGACAAAACTGCTCTTAACCGTATCGATAGTACGTATGAACTATGCTATACCGTATTTACGTATGTATAGGCCGCACATTTTTTGCCAAAAATTCAAGAGGAAAACTGGGATGCGGCTTATATTCGAAATATTCGAAATCACACTTCATTTAAAAAAATTATATTCATAATTAGTAATAGAGTGTGTTCTACTCCTGAAATAATATTCCAAGAAAATTATTTTTTCTATAATTTGTCTGAAAATTGTGCTGCGGCCTATACACGCACGCGGCCCATACATGCGTAAATACGGTAATTTTAATAGAACAGTGAAAAGTAGGGCCAAATTTGAGGGAGGAACGCGCGACTCTCCCGCAACACAGCTCACAGGTCTTCTTTAAAAGTGTCCCACTTACCTCGGCACGGTTATAGCCCGAGATCTTGCAGAAGGATTCATTGCAGTAGACGATTGGGAAGTCGACAATCTGAGCATTGGCCAACAGGAAGCTGCTATCCGCTGCAACACAAACGTAATTATTTTCAAAATCTCAGAATTGGCCAAGTGAAAGCTGCTGTTCGCTACAAAAGAACATTTCTGTTCACAATATTGAGAGTACTAATCATATTCTGACCCAGATATTTATAGAGAGGACCTGAACTGCATTCTAGAGACGCTTCATTACAATCGCTACACTATCCATTAGCCTTAGCATGAAGGTTGTAATTGTGTCCCTCAATTTCTAATCATTCATATCTCTTGGTCTTTGGCGGAAGCTAACAGGGATCGGCCGCGCTTTGCCAATTTGCCATTCCGCACATGTGTGTGCAGCAACAGCGTTAGGAAGCTGAAACCGGAACGGGCAGCGTAGGAAGAGAACTGAACTATTTAGTAAGAATGAGGGAAATAAATATGACACAACATACTGTTCTAATTATGTGGCTTTTATTCCAGAGGAGTAACTAACGCCCGGTTCTCGCCATCGTCTTCACCTTCACCAGAACTGTTGTCATCGTTGTCGTGGTCTTCCTTCTCTTTGTTTTCTGTCTCACTGTCCTGTAAGTGGATGACGATCGGCTCTGAAATTTCTTCACGTCCTAGCTCTTTTACATAGTCATCTTCCTGCAGTTTCACAGTGGGACGTACACAAGACGCCCAGTCTGCCTGCGTCACCTTGCCAAGTTTCCTGTTGACCAGTCTTTCCTCGCCAGGAACCTTGAATGTTTTGTTCTTTTTTTGCCACTTCCCGTTCCACTTCAGCCCACAGAATTTCGACAGAATTATACTGACAGTGATATGGGGGAAGCCGTATGGCCATATATCGGTTCTGAGGTTTTCGCGGCAGTGACTATGAAGAATGCCGCCTTCTGGGATGTGACACCTTGTAGATCTTGTGTGAACCGACGTTTCGGAGGAACGTATCGCCTCCATCTTCAGAGCAGAAAAAATCCGTGAGCTAGGAACCAGCATGAGCAGATGGTTGCAGTCTGCAGTCACCTGCTCACGCTGGTTCCTCGCTCGCGGATTGTTTGCCCTGAAAATAGAGGTGATCTGCTCCTCCGAAACGTCAGTTCATACAAGATCTACACGGCTCCACATCCCAGAAGGAGGTATTCTTCAAGTTCGTAATATTCCATATTATTCCTTAAATGGAACACACTTTCCAAAAGTTCAGATTTGTTTCGGTAGGAGAGATATCAATTGCTCTCTACTGCAGCCACTCAATGATACCGTCCTTTCTCCTGGAGGTTTTAGGCATCATATTTGATATAACCGAAAGGTAGCTCGCATTGTCCAGTTATTATACTGTCCTCTTCTAAGTAATTAATAAATCTATTTTAAAAAATCCAATTTCGAAATATATGGGCGGTCATTTCTTCGTGTATTGAGACCGGAACACCCACTTGCTCTTATGAATAAAACCCGTATTAGCTGATCCTGCGCGGTAAATAATAAGATAGCTTCATTTCCTCATAGGAAACTCGAGCCCCCCCCCCCTTCTACTGCAATCCTTTCAAATATATTTAACTCTGTGGTTCCCATTTACCTCAGTTTCCCCGAGGTAAAACACCGGTCGGCTGCCACTGAATTTTTTTAAGGTCGGTTATTGTTCGCAGGAACTTAACTTTGCTGCAACAATGTCATATTGCTCCATGAGGAGTTCGCACCCATCATGATTTCTCTTGTACTGGAGGTCATGATGCTTCACCAGTCTTATAGTGGACAAAAAGGAAACATTTGTGCGCTATTTTCTCCAAGAACAAATGTTAATTTATTGGCAGTAGGGAATTCCCCTTTGTCATAATATTCGAAAAAAAAAATCTGCATAAATCATGCTGTTGGAAGTCATTTAGAAAGTAGCACTTTGGTCCTAAATCTTCTGCCACACTACACAGCGTCACAGCCCTCAAGCAAACATTTTTCAGTATTAAGGTAACATAAATACGAAGCGTGGGTTGTACAGAACACACAGCACACATCAGAGAAGCAAATTTTTTCAGAAAAATCTGCGCAAGTTAGTAGGTTCGGTTTTGCTCTTACGCCGTCTAATGGTAGATAGGATGAGAGAATGAACAAAGAATTGAAAATAATTCGCAAGGAAGCGGTAGGGGCCTGTTTGTGGTAATATCACAACACTTGTCTAGAAAGTCTGAGTAAAACCATGCACCTTCCGAATACGAGTCAAGAGCGTTACTGCTAAGCCAACTCGCTCGGCGAATCATCTTGGGAATCTGATATATACTTGGGTGGATAATATTAAAATGGATCTTAAAGAAAAGGATTTGCATATATGGACTGCATTCATCAGGCTCCATCCGTCGGGTACAGAAAGAGAGCGTCCCTGTTCCACTGCTCTCCTCAGTCTGTGTGTCTGCAGGGCGGTCCTTTCATCACGAATGTACGTTGCAGTTACACATCCTACAAATGAAGTAACTGCATCAGTGATATCAACCCATAGCTTAGTCAACTAGTCAATGTTTCCTGACGGTGGCAGTCTGCAGACTGTTGTACTAGTCTCTCTCTACTCAAACAGTGAAATATATCCACTGCTCTCCAGAACATGTCAGATACATGGATTCTAATCCTGCCTCATGAGGGACTTCGGCTTCGATATATTGTGGTTTCACTCATGATTTTTATTGACATTTCTGTTATCACCCGCTAATAAAGTTTGTCGTCAATGGAACTGAGGCCCTATATTATGCTTTGATTTTCTTTCGGCATGCAGTGATGAGCTCGACTATCTCTTCCCAGTAGGCCATGCACTTGATGAATGATAGGGATCCAGTTTCCAAAACGCTGTGCTTGAAAGAACCGAAGATGATTCAGCACATCCAATTCACAGCCCTAATAGCCGTGTTTATTTTTGCACCACATTGACAAAAATACCGAGGACTTACGTGTAACATATTATCGAATTTGCTCGAATTATGCAACTCACAATTCAGTTTACGGATGCGACATTCATTTTTAGCGTAGCGACTGCAGATACGGGGAGTAAAATCCATGCCGGCTACTGACAGGTAAGAAAGAAGCCATTAATCATCTGACGTCATGGATGTGCTGTAATCTGATTGGACTGCGCTGCTGGGCCGTATGAGCTGCACGTCCGTCAGTATGAGCTGACGTCATATGATACTAGAGGGGGGGGCTTCCCCCCCCCGCACACCGTCATTTCGCCTTAGTCACATCGGAAACTTTACTATACTTCCAAGTTTCCACCCTCAGAAGACGAGCCCGCACTCATTTACACTCTGGAATGTGCATTATTGTAAATTCAGAGGCTATTTACATGCCAAGGCCGGCCATTACCGTAGAACTAATAATACGTGTAGTACCGAGAATTTTGGCTAAAACGGTAACGCTTCTAGCATGTATTAGGAAGGTGCCTGTTTCGAATGTCGCCTGGGACACTGACTGTTTTGGGGTTTATCGTGGTTCTTCTCTGTACATGCAGGTAATGGTGGGATAGTGTCCTATACAAGGCCGTTATCGCGTCCAACAACGTCCCTATCAAATTATAACCATCGTTTAATTGTTCAGCGCTGTTAAGAGCCTGAGTTACTGATAGCATTCCCAGAAAAGCTAGAAACAAATTATGTGCTGGTGAAGTTCTCAAAGACATTCCCCAAAATTAGCAGATCATTTGTTACTTATATGAGTGGTTAAGTCTGTATTTTACGGCTTGGAGCCAGATTTTGGTTTCGCGACATGTTTGTTTACTTGTGTCTATTATTTATCGGCTTCTAAAGATATTTACACGTAATCTTATCCCTATTCCATACTGCCACTTTTGGTATTTGGACAAGTTAAGTGCTCCAGACTGCACCGTGTAACAACATTGCATTAATTCTATCCTAGTGTAACGACAACTTGAATATCTCACCATTTCTTATACATTTTCATGCCAATAGCTTCTCCTGCTTCCCCTTACTCACTTCCAGATGTTTCCGGCACAGCAGAACACAAACTCCGACCAAAATACGTAATCAAAATTTAATGGAACTGTTAACTGAGCATCACCAGGCGGTTAGTAGCTGGTTCCTATCGCGGCGACCCTGGTTCGAGCCCGAGTCAGTCATGTGGGATTTGTGGTTGACAAAGTGACATACGAACCAGTTTTCTCCGAGTTCTTCGGTTTTCCCCGCCAATCTTCATTCCACAGATTGCTTCACAATCACTATCATCTATCATCTATCATCTGGGCCTGGTATAATAGGCCAATAGTGGCCGCAGTACCAAGTGGGCCCAGTCTCACACCACTAAGAATAACAAAAAACAGCATCACAGCGGAAATCCTCTAGTTTACAATTGAACAACAGAAGATACATTCAATGGAGTCTTAACTTGACCAACCGTAACAGCCAACTGATTTGGCCTTACTTACTTACTTACTTACTTACTTACTTCACTACTCATGAAGCTCAGCCCTTTTCGAAGAGAAGCCAAATCTGCAGCTACTCAAGAAAATCCCAGCATTTTATGGACCCCCCCAGGTTCATTACCGTGTTCACAAGAGCCCTCCACTGGTCACTTTCATGCGCCAGATCAATCCAATCCATACCATCCCATCCTATCTCTCTAAGACCCATTTTAATATTGTCCACCCACCCACGCCTTGGTCTTCCCACTGGTCTCTTTCCTTCTGGCTTTCCCACCAATATCCTATACGCATTCATCGTCTCCCCCATTCGTGCCACATACCCTGCCCACCTCATCCTCCTTGAATCGATCATTCTAATTATACTTGGAGAAGAGTACAAGTTATGAAGCTCCTCATTATGCAGTTTTCTCCAACATCCTGTCACTTCATCTTTCTTCGGTCCAAATATTCTCCTCAACACCCTGTTCTAAAACACCCTCAGTCTATGTTCCTCCCTTAAGGTCAGAGACCAAGTTTCACACCCATACAGAACCACAGGCAAAATTATAGTTTTGTATATTCTAATTTTTATGTTTTTGGACAACAGACGAGAAGACAAAAGGTTCTAGACTGAACGGTAGCAAGCATTACACGA